TGTGTGTGTGTGTGTGTGTGTGTGTGTGTGTGTGTGTACACACGTATACAGGATGTCTGGAAATAATCATCAAATATTTCATGGGCAGGTAAAGCGAACTAAACTGAATCGAAAAATCCTCTATCATTTTGTAAATTTCCCTAATAGTTAATGAGACATTAATCCTTAAAGATAACCGAATACACGCGCCCGCCCGACCTACTACTGCGAAATGTATATGCCTACGGATCGCTTGGCGCGCGGATCGTGGGAGTTGGGGATTGACTGGCAAGCGCGCCGTCCGAGCTATTGAGGCTTGCGGCGATGTACGCGACGCGGGGTACATTCAGTTACAATATCTTCCAAAATATGAGTAGATCTCCATTGACATTCCCACGTATGATTAAACGTCATTAACTGTGTTTTTATGATATTTGCAAAGACAGTAGTTGTCTCACCAATTTTGTTATTGTTGGAGCATCTTCGTCTTCATTTTGGTATTTACGATGTTCAATATATTTTTCATTTGCTGTAGCATCTTCCATAAGTGTTTTCATTATTTTGTTGCGACAATTCTCACAATTAGTTTTTGTAATACTTCGACGTGCCACAAATCCAGCGAAATATGTGATAGAATTTTCATCATAAAATCCAAGTGATTGTATATTTTCTGTTCTTTTTTTTAATATAGTCATCAAGAAGCTGTGTATCTTCCATAAATTCGGCCTCATAATCATCATCATAATTTGTAGGAAAATTGTACATACATTTTTCTACTCTTTTAATGAGCTGACTCGATTCATTTATAAGAGTCTCACTTTCTGGACATTGAACATTATTTTTATCACTTGTTTGGATATATTCAGTAGAAAATATGTATCTAAGAGATAATCGGATCATTCTTGCACTTGGATTACAGTTAAATCCTCCACGTTATCTAGAAAGTTTAGAAAATAAATGCTTCATCTTGATTACACCAAATCCTGTTGCAAGTTCGAATTCTTCATTGATGACAAGAGTTTTGTAAGTATTAAGAATAGCTTGCAAAGTTATAATGAAGCCTTTGAAACAAGGAACTTGCATTATTTTTTTTTGTTGATTTTGACCATCTTGTGCACCATTCAATAAAATCTGTTAATAGAACAATTAAGTCAGAATTTTAAAAAGATAATGTCGTTTTCCGCCAAATTGAACTTTGGGACTGTAGCTATTGCAAGCGTCAATAACATTATTCATAAGCAAAATAGGCAGTTTTTTCCCATGTATCAGTATGTAATTCTTTTCCATGGCCAGCTGTTTTTATTGTTGTTGCAAAAATATTAAATAACTGGAAAGCTCTTTTAACGTTCATCGCTTCGAAGTTATTCGGATACAAGTGCGATTTTGTTATGTGAGATAATAAATTTGAGGCATTTGTGGCATTTGAGGCATTTGTCGATAGACTATGTTTTTTCGAAATCTGAATATGATGCAATTATTTGTCTATCACAATAAAGGTTTCTATGCTGAAGAAATTTGCTAATCTTTTTATTAAATGTGAAAAATCAAATGAAACATTATATTTTTTCTCGTTATATATGAAAAATGAATTTTCTAGAATCGACATCAAGTTGATTATAAGCACTTTGATTACTTGATTACGTGTTACAAGTTGCACATCTGTACCTGTTTCACTCAATCTAGACATTCTTTCAATAATGTTACTATGGCAGCTGCTCTCATACATAGCGCAGATAGCCTTTTTACATATTTCACTGTGCACATCTGCGCACAGCGCAAATAGCCTTTTTACATATTTCACTGCGTACACCGCAGGATGTCTTTTTATTATATTTCACTGAATACATGGCAGAATGTCTTTTTATTATACACACAGACAGAAAAAATTTGAACGCTAATCCTATGTCATTACAGCAAATTTATTTGCACATAGAAGGATCGCAAATTATTTGCAGGTGTTCATTCTTTTTTGTACTTGCTAAAAATTATTTGCAACAAATGCAAAATATTTATCAATATGCAAATTTGTTTGCTATAAACAGCAAAGAAATTTGACAAATCTTTTGCGTTCATAGCAAATCTTTTTTTTCGGTGTATATTTCTGCGCACAGCGAAAATTGTCGTTCATATATTTTAGTGCAAAATGCCTTTTCATATATTTCATTGCACAAAAATAAAATGCATTTTATTATAATTATGGATGCATTGAATATTCGGAAATATTCGATTATTTTACTATTTGGTTTCCAATATAAAATTTTATATTGAAAGTTTGCGTCATTGACATAGAATTCTATTCGGCTGAACTTGCATATTTCATCATTGATCAAGTTTTATATACGCTCAATCAAGAATCTGAAGACACGGTAGTGTCTCAGCGCTAAGCGTGAGATATTGCCTAGCTACTACTCGAATTGTATAATAAAAGTACTTTTATTTTTTTTCTATGTGCCCTACAAGTGAAGATATTGCGATGCAAATTCTGTAAAAAATTTTGTTTACATTGTCTAGGCCGCGCGCGAATCGAAATGTTGCTATTTCACTTCGGTAAGCACTCAACTCACTCCCACGTGATTTTCCACGTGCGGCTCATGATTGAGCTCGAACGTCTGGCGCCTATTCATTACACTGTTCGATAAAAACTTTTTTCGAATACCAGAATACCAGAGACTAATCATTTTTTATAGCTTTTTTTAAACAAGCGTCAAATAAACTGCTCGACCTATCGCCTATTAAATATAAGTTCGCGATGAAATACGTGTACGTTCATTTAGCGATTATATTTATTAGGCCATGTTAGTTGCACGGAGAGTTCCTTTTGCTGTTCGTAATATAAATGTTGCCGCTTGTAGTAACAACTTCTCACGATCCCATGCATTTAATGATCACAATCGTTGGGCTTGTATAATTTGGCGGTATGCCGGGTGCACTCTCCCGACACGATAAATTATTTGGCAATTTGTAATTATATTAATAATTAATCATAATTATTGCAAAAATTGCAAAATGGTAAAGAACTTTTGGACACAGTTTAGTCCACTCTAACTGTACACAAACGCTTCGTGTGCTTGAAAATTTCCTAGACACCCTATATTTATACAATGTACATACACTTACTACTATGTATCCATAAATCAAGTCTGTTTTTGATGGAAAGTTATATAAGTTATATTCTACGAGATAATCGTCCATTTTCACAATCTTTATACACGCACTTATTAAAAAACTTGTTTACGTCAAATTGATTTGATATTATTTAATATCTTTAATTTTTCTTTCTGTTATAACTATATAATTTTTTCACAAAATAACTTTTCACAAATATAAAATAAATACACTACATACACACATACACACACACACACACACACACACACACACACACACACACACACACACACACACACACACACACACACAGTACACACATGAAATGTGCAAAAGAATCGTTTATAATTATTAGAATGTAATGAACAATTATGGATCTCGCAAATTTATTTTTCATACAGAAATATATGCATGCAATCGCAACTGAATGTTGACTGCTTCACAGCTACTCTAAAAACAAATGAAAATATGTCTATACGTTCGTTCCACTTAACGCACGTGAGCGCCATTCATCCTTGTTTTTTTTATCAACTAAACATCTTCCACCCGATTCTCGGCTAATCGCATTTTAATCTGATATTTCTTAATGTTTTCATCAGCTTGATCAATTGTGCGTGTACACATGTGCATATAATGTGTTGCATATACATATATGTATATACATATATGTATATACATATATGCATATACATATATGCATATACATATATGTATATATTTTTTATATATTACATATTATATTTATATCTTTATATTTATGAATATAAAATATATATTATAATACATAAGATGTAAGGTGTCCTATTTTAATTTACCTCCTAAAACTCTTTTATTTTGGATTGTAAAAAATAATGCTCTAGTCAAAAGTTGTACAGCTTGACGAGCCACAAATAATAGTAGAATTAGTATTAACTTTTTTTTTCATTATTATATAAAGATCTTTAAAAAGTCTTTAAAAAATGTTTGCACTTTGAAGAAGTATACGTAATATTAAAACTTCTTATATACAAAAGATGATGTCAAAGGAAATTTAATATAGTGTATTTTGAAATGAAGACTTTTTTTGAAAATTTCAAAGTCAACTTTTTAAAA